TAATATCAAAAATGTATTTCTGTTTTTTCTTTTTACATATTTTGTTAAAAGGGCAAATAAGGACTTAAAACCAAAAAAAAAGTTATTTTCTGTTTTGTTTTATTCTTGGATCTGGCTTTAAAGGGTTAAGAGACTGAAAAAAGACGGTAAATGAACCATGGCAGACTGCTAATGTTGCTAATGCTACATCCATAAGAACACACAAATACACTACTGATATTATCGTGCACAGCCTAGCAAGTAAAAAGTGGGTAAAAACAGGTCAGAATGAGCTCCAATTCATTATTTTGTCTCCTAAAACTGATTGAACAGGAATTTAAATAGAAATTTAAAAGGTTTCTATCAGTAAAATACCGGTTTATGACTCCTTTAAACAAAGGCAAATTCAGGTGGTGTTTTAAAAAAGTTTTTGGCCTACTTCATGGTGTCAAATGGGTTCTGTTTAAGTGATTTCAAAACTATGTAGCTCAGGTAGTAATCGAACCTGTGAACTAACGTTTATCATAATGAGATCAATCTGACTCCGGATGTGTTGTGAAAAATCTGAAGCCTGCGTTTGCTTCTGTTTCCCGCTTTAAATGTAGTGAAACACACCTGATAGAAAAAGAAGAAAAATGTGTGAACAGGACAAAATTTTTCTAAGTTATGTTACCCTGGAGAGGGAGAGAATAAAAAAAATCAGATCTTTAAATTAATATTTAATCCATGTTTGTATAACAAATAACAGGAAATTCATACAGCTGATACAAATATTCAATCTTGGAAATTTATCATTCAAGTTCCTCATTATAAAGTAAAAACCAATGATAAATAGTTAAATAGTGAGGAAAAAAAAACAGCAGATCAATGCAGAAAACAAAAAGACTGGCCCATGTTTAGTGAAAGGGCTTGATTCAACCAGATCTGCTTATTTGAGTCCGTGCTGCGTCTCCTTGTGCCGCCTCAGGTCCACCTTCCTTTGGAAGCCTTTCCCGCACAGGTCGCAGCCGAACGGCTTGAAGCCCGTGTGCTTCCGGCTGTGAGTGATCAGGTTGGAGCTCTGACTGAACGCCTTCCCACACACCTGGCATTTGTGCGGCTTCTCCCCTGCAGCAGCAACAAATGGTTAAAATAATCAGTCGTGTTGGGAGAAGGAAGCCAAGCAGAAGGCGCACCTCCCCTCACCTGTGTGGATGAAGGTGTGTTTTTTCATGTCGGACTTCTGGTGGAACCTCTTCCCGCAGTATTGGCAGGGATAGGGTCGCGTGTCCGAGTGGATGAGCAGGTGTGTGGAGAGCGTGGAGGAACGCTTGAAGCTCTTCCCGCAGATTTTGCAGCTAAAGCTCCTTTCCTGTTCAAGAAATCACGCAAAGAGAAATAAGATTTATTATGGGTTCATCTATGCAGTAATCCCATTTAGAAAGTGAAACCAATATATATTTATATTTTTATGTGTATACCTTTTACGTTTATTTCTGTTAGTTTGTCATTTATATGGTTTACAGCAGAGCCAAAAAGGTTTTTAATCCAGAGGTCGGATGTTTTGGTGCATAAGGTTGTAGCTAAAGAAAAATGGCTGCTCACAGAGAGGAACTTCCAATCATATTGATGTAAAGTTGGGTGGAAGGAAAACCTTTGGTAGAAGACTGGAGATGGAGTAGAAACTTCAGGAACTGCTAAGCTGGACACATCCAGGGTTTATGGGCTACAACTGATGGATTAGGGATGTTCTGAGACACCATCTGAAATATTCCTCCTAAACGGAGGACAAATAGGACTGGAGTTTTGATCAGCGATCCTCTGACTAGTTTAATCTAAGCCCCAGATCACTGAGGAAGAAAGAAAAAAAAAAAGAAAAGCTGCTAATGGTCCAGAGTAAAGTTTCCAATCCTCCATGTTTCATAAAGTTCACAGTCATCCCAGCAATCTAACAGGAAACTTTACATGTCGCCTTTCCCTCGTCTGAGAAGCTTTATGCAGATGCAGACTTTACTCTGCAGGACTTAGAGGAGAA